ACGTATACCGTGACTCGAAGCCAAGAAACTTTGCACGTTTAAAATCGCGATTCGCACCAGCACACGGCAGACGTATTTTCGTTTGCCCGACCAATTTGAATTGCTCGTTAGCCATAATTGGAACCTCCTGGTCCTGCTGGTTCGACCAGCCAAATAAATACATCATCCCTGTCCAAATCAAACGAAATAAATAACCCTTACGAAACATCACTAGGAATCATAGCAGAGTCAGACTTTTATATAAAAATTCAATATTCAGTGTACTACAGTCATCGACCTTCGTGACGACAATCGTCGACGTTTTCTTTTTTTTTTTTTTTTTTTTTTCCACGGACCTAAATGACAAACTTTTACACGCTGCCCTGAGCTAAGAGAAAGATAGTCAAAAAATGCTAATATAATTTGACCTGTTAAATATTTCTATAAAACATTTGCCACTTTAACGGTATTAAAAAAAAAAAAAAAAGAGAGAAAAAAAAAGGTATCGATCAAATTCCCAAGCATACACTAACACATATAATGTCTTTGATCGTCGGCATTGATTTTCAAGGTCCTCGTCGACTTCCAAACTTGAGAACTAACAAAGTACGATTGTAGGTGTAGTTGAGTAATTCTACGTGCGTAGACGCCGGGCACGTTGTACGTTACACGCGTATGCAGGCGTACGCGTGCTATCGTAAAAAGCATAGAAAAATTCTCAATGAAAGGATACTACGCCGTCGCGTGAGTTAACGAACGACAAAACTTTTCAGACTTTGCAGTATGGCGTCTCACGACTACGGCGTAACGAAAGAAACTAAAATAATTGATGACGTCATCACGTGACCCATTCGTATTTTCCCTCGAGATCCATTAAGAAGTTTCACTCGAAAACTGGACTAGATGCAATAACCCTCCACTCTGTACGACTGCGGCTGTGGAGCCTTGGACGAAATTTCGGTAAAGTACGAATTTTAGGGAAACAGACGTTTTTCACGGTGTGATTGTCTGAATTACGGGATGGCCCAAGGTCAGTACTATTATTATTATCCTACGACACCCCTGACGTTGATGTCTAATAGAAATATGGAATACGAGTCGAAAAATGGTATAATGGTATTGATTTTTAAATTTCAATAGGAAAATGACCAGAATGAGGTAACGTGTCTAAATATCTAATAGCTATGTGTATATTATATGACTAGAAATATCGTAGCATGGCCACGGCACGATACGCTACGAAATATCGCGATACAGTACGGTATATACCTACTACTACATATACGCTAGCTGTGTAAACACTGTAAACACTGATCATGCCACGCAGGGGTTCTCAGTCATTTGCGCGTAGTCCTTGTACTCTGGTGACTGGTGGTTCGAAAGAAAAAAAAAAATTGTTATCGGTATGCCGAGAAGAAAAGAAAAATACACGTAATTCGAAAATTAATGATTTACGAAAAAAAAAAAAAAAATCTACTTGATTGGGAAAAATTTTTTTTTTCTTTTTCAAAAGTAACATCAGTGCGTTCCCTGAAGAATTTCGATAAGGCCGTAACGTTACGCTGTACAATTTTGGTGATTGAGATTGATAATTTTTTTTTTTTTCACAGGTAACGCCTCCCGTAAACGGCAACGGGTTTCAATGTAAAAATTGAATATACACAGCTCGAAAGACTCTGGGCAAATGTATCCATCATTGTCGCTCGTGTGCGGGCACCGGCTACGTAATACGTACAGATGGCTGACTCACCGAGGGATAATCGAAGTCCGGGGAAGACGAGACGTCCAGAATATAGTCGACTCTGCTCTGGTTCGCCGGATCCTCCAGTGTCACGGGCGGCGTTAGCGTGCTCATTGCACTGGTTATCGTCTGGAATCGATTCGCCACTGGTATCACGAATAGCGGAGGAAAAAGACAGCGAGGAGGAAGCAAAGTAGCGGCGGACTTGGAGGATTCGAGGGGAAAGTAAAAATTTGGAACGTGAGGCAGGTAATACGGGATAAAGGATGCTGCGCCCTTAGACGAGGATAAACCTTAGGATGCATGAGGGAAGGAGTTACTTGTCAAACCAAAAAAAAAAAAAAAAAAACTAACTTCAAAAAAAAATTTCTTCACAGAAAAAAGTTTACCCCAAAATGCGAAATAAAAAAATATCATATCGACAATTGCATTACTTGGCACAATGAAAATTTCGTGATCCAAAGTAAAAGGAAATGGTCGATTTACGTAAATCACAAAAATTTCACTAGCCACCAGGACGCGCCTGAATTGATCAACGATCCGACTCGTACTTATGCGAGTATAAGAATCGCTCGAAAGAAATCGACAGATCGGAAGAAAAAATCGCTAAAAAATCTCAACGAAAGCAAACAAACCGGCCATACAGGATGGCCGATAGTGAAAGAATTTTTTTTTTTTCAATCCTCGCGCATAGAATGACTCGAGTGTAGCCAGCAGTATTTATTGCGGGTACATGCCTATTTATATCTATCCAGTGTAGAGTATACGGCTACGTTCAAGGTGCCGCATAACCTCTCCTATCTAAACTCTAAACTCGGACTTAACCTGCGGCTTAACCTCCACTTTTCCAGCGTGCATCGCCGCTGGAAGCCGTGTAAAGTATGTAAGCGCGGGGAACAAGTAAGCAACCAGGAAAGCAGAGCAAAGGAAGTTACAGAGGGGAGAAAGGGGGAGAGGGGAGCAGGGGAGGTAGGGGTGATACTCGGAAGGCAGCCTAAGAGAGCGTTAGGTAGGAGAGGCAGGCGAACCCGGGAGAGTGGCACGTGTCCAAAAGTCTCCTCAATGAAATTAACAGTGGACGAAACATTTAATAATCGTGGCGAATATCTCTTCTATTTTTCTTTTCTTTTTCTTTCACTGTTATTTATTACCCACGAGAAGCTTCTCCCTATCTATAAAGAATCAATACGACCACGAGGACACCGGAAGCTACACCTACGCGATACTTGAGATTTTTGTCAATGAATTTAAAAAAAAAAAAAATATTTATATACCCTCTCGCCGCCCTTGGACAAAAAAAAAACATAAAACATAACATGCAAACGGTCAAACGCATTGGCTCTTAACCCAGTCGTACACCATCTGCAAAACTTCTATTTATAACGACGGCTCGTCGTGGCTGCGTTCACGACATTCGCCTAACCTCTCCGATCTAAGCGCGGACATCACGACAAACGTTTTTCCAGCAGTCAAAATAACGAGACCCGAGCGTTCCGAGAAACGTTGCAAAACGTAGCCACTAGCCGAGGGATAATAGCCTAACCTAACCTAACCTATAGATATATTGTCGCCCTGATGACAACGTGGATAAGGGCGAGTCCCTCGGGACCGGGTATTAATCCCAGCATTATGTATCGAAGAACTAAATAAATACACGAAAAGCCTCAGGGACTTTCAATGGATATGCAAAGTGCGTGGTAACGGTTGAAAGTAAAAGGAAGCAGCTATACGAAACCGACGGCAAAATAAATTTGAATTTCCCGCCTCGAGACTCGACGTTCCTTTCAACGGCAGCCGGAAACGCATCGAACGATTACGTGAATCGACCCCGCAAAACGATACGTGCTGTGGGAGTGAGATTTTATGGGAAACAAGGGAGGGGGAAGAGGGGTGTGTCGGGAAATCTGGCAATTCCAAAAATATCTGCACTCGATTTCTTACCAGGATCGCGTCTCGGATATTCTTTTTGATGTCCTCAATTTTTTGCCGCTTCTCCCTGCAACAGCAAAACGTTGGCAAAATGTTAAACTTTTTTTTTTATTATTCTTTCTCGTCTTCCCTTTTATTCACTCTCTCTTTACCTTCGTATTATATATATACACACGCATACGTAAACGAGCGCGTGCGTTCGAAATTCTTTCTCGTGTGACTTCACCGTACTGGAATTCTACGTTTACTGCTGAAAATTTCAGTAACGAGCTCCGTAACGGCCTGGCTGTTTCTTTTTTTAGTTCCCGCAAACGCCTCAGGTGAATCCACCAGAGGAGCCAACAAGTTCATTTCGACCGAACGTCCATCACGCATCTATGCGATGCGTTGGCACCCGCGTATATTGACTCGGTTACGATAAGAATCATCGCGACTGTTTATCGGAAACGAAGACTCGATTGTAATAACAAAATAACACCGTGTAATAACCATCCGCGCGATAACATACCTCCTAGTAATTGGTACAAATGATTCCTCCTATCCCATTCCTCCAACCGTCGTGCTCCTCTTTCACTTTTTCTCTGTATTAACGCCAAGCGACGTTTTATACGTGTTGCCGATAAAATCCGCTCGAGTTCTTCATTAACGTTTAATAACAATAGGATCCATGTCAATTTTCGTCTTTATCCCATTGTTATACCGTTACGACGAGCATCCCGGAAATTAACAGTCAATAATGCTGTATCGATTGTATCCTTAAATGTAAAAGAAAAGGGGAAAAAAAAAGAATACAAACAAAAATAAAAGACACAAAGTTACGTCGAATTTCCTCATCGACGATAAAACACGCTTTAACCGGAATGACGTACTGTATCACAATAAATTATCCGGCACTGTTCACTGGCAAGGTGACAATCATCATCTTGCAGTGGTTAACACGTAGCGTGACATGGACACAGCGAAAACTTTTTCTAGAAAGATAAAAAAAAAAGTATCGATAGCTAAGAAAATTAAAAGCGACAAGAACAAAAAAGTATCCGAGACATTGTGCGATGGAACAACTCGTATCGGACAGTGTCAAGATCTTCGAGATCTACTAGTGTAACAGTCAAGTATGTTTGAGGACTATTTTACCCCGTGGAAGACGGGTGCCGAAATATAGCACGGGAGGTAAAAGAAAATATTTAGAAAAACAAACAACGCCGGTCCGTCGTTACGAGATATACGCGCGAGCGACTAATTCTGGCTCGTCGCTTGTATACAAGCCGGTGGGTTTCCTGTTGGGTAACAGCGCCAATGGCTAGTAACCCTTAGTTCGTCTCTTCCCCAGCGCTCCTCGGAGAAAAATCCATCGGGGACAAATAGGAGGAACACCTGATCGACGATATCGACACGCCGATCGACTATCCGCGACGGGTAAGGTTACATTAGCATTAAGGTGGGAGAGAGACCGTAGCGAGATTGCGCTAAAGCCGTTCTTTGCTTCAACTACTTTTACTCTATTTTTCTGCCTCTTTGCTTCGCCCTTTCAACCCTCCTCTGCGCTCCTGTCTCGCAGTAGCTTCGCTTCGATATTTGTCTCTGCTTCCTTGCTGCGTTACTTGGTTAGACGCTGTTGCCACCTCCATCTGCTCGTTACACGTTGAGGATTCGACGAGGAAAGTTTCGCGATTCTTCTGTCGAAGACGACACCGGTAAATGACTTAAGTAACAGACGCACGCTACGATACAATGTCAAGGTACATTCCACTGACTTTCCTGACTTTGTTTTCCTTGGCTCTCTCTACTTTTTTATTTTATGTTTGCTGGTTATTCGGGAAACAGATTGATTATGCGAACCTGGCGGTAGACACTGAACTACTCAAAATGACCTCTGAAAGATTCCGAGAAACTTTAATACATTTTTCCTGAATAAATCGTACGGCATGATAAAATGGGCAGTTTTTCAAACAATATGGGTAAAACAGCAAAAAGTGTATTACTATACGACAAAGCTGACAGTGTAGTTGTATAATTCAAATTTAAACCTTAAGGCGGCGTTGACGCTCTGAGAACAGCGACGCCAACGGTAATCTGCGATACTAATATGTTAAGCTCCCTTGTAGCATTTGTCAACCTGCTTCGAAGGGATCTTTGTGAAAACGTAGGTATCGGAAGGATTCTAGGAAACTTTTTGTCATCTGATATCCCTTTAATACCAAGAATATTCTTGAGAAATGTACCAGTCATTGAATTTCATAGGATCTCAAGATGTCAACTAAGCAACTTTCCTTCTGTTTAGAAGCAATCGACGCATGCATATATAACAATCGTTTGACCGATTTGTCAAACAATCGTTCGATTGATCGGATTTGATCGTATATAACAAAAGAGAAGCGTTGACATGAGCTCACAAAGTCAAAGGGACTAAAAGGCCAAGAGAAGACAGGCGAGGAGAAAAAGCGTTGATGCGTTGAAAAAAAAAAGAAAGAAGAGGAAATAATTCAAAAGATCTTCATGAAATGTAGTAAGGCGTGTTTAGGTTTCTTATCAGCGTCTCACCACTGCTGAATTTATGACATAGGCAACCATTTGTTTACACACTGTTTTCATACTATCTAGTCACTCCCGTTAATTTTCCACGTCGCGAAGAGTGTAGAGCGCTTCGTCGAGGACCTCTCGCATTCTCTCTCTTTCCGTCCCTCTTGACTCTAGTTGCCTCTAGCTTGTCTCTCCAGTCCCTCTACCACCGACCAAGTCGTTTTTTTTTGCGGCCAATAAAAAACGACCAAAAAGAACCGTCCAATTCGCCTGGGCAACACGTGTTGATATCGCGGAATCATATACTTACCAAGCAAGCAGGCAGACGAGTTAAGGATGAATCATATAAAACCTGCAGTTTTAGAGTGGTAGAAACTCGTTGGAAAATTCGTGGCATTCCTTGGGATTAGGTAGAACGTACATAGATGAGAACGCACTGGTCGATTACGTCATTACGAAGATCATTTATTAATGTCGTTGTCTATGTCGGGATGTGGCTTTTAAAAAATAATTTAAATCTCGATCGGATGTCAATTAGCGATTTCTGCAATGAGAATCGAACCGACAGAGGACGAAAGGGTAGTTGACTAATTCTGGAGAGGGTCTTGACGTCCTCGGAACTTCGTTGACATTACCCAAAATAATTTTTATACTTCCCCGAATGTTACAGGGCCACGCCGAAGCCAACGAGTTTTATGGTTTTGCCTTTCGCGATGATTTATATATTTTAGATTTAATTTTCCCGTCTGCTTCCGATTCGCCACCGCTGTATTTTTTCTCGTCTTCCTGTTTTCTTTTTTTACTTATATTTGCCTATTTTCACGTTTTCTTGCTCTATCGAGCTTCATTCCCTTTTTTATAGTTCACGTGCTATGCATAATCATTTGTTATTATATAATTAATAATGATGATTAACTTACGCTTCGCTGAAGCCATTTACGTGTAATATCCTCATCTGTTTGACGATTGTGCTCTTCCCGGACTCTCCTGCGCCTAAAAATGAAATAAAAACGGATGAGTTACTGTTACAAACGTATTTATTGTTATCTGATTCAATTAAATTTTCATAAAATATTCCATATTAAGAATCACATTATATATAGTTGGCAACATAATAGTATTCTTTGTGGGAATACCATTTGATGATCAATATTTCTGAATTTAAAAAGTGGGTGAAAAGGAAAATATTCAACGAGACAACACTTTTACTCCCTTTATTAATGAGAGTCTCATTAAATGCGAAACAGGTATCGCTTTATGGCTGAAGCAAAATAATACAGATTAAATAACTAAACTGACACTTGTGTGACATTGCCTTTAGTTTTCAATATAATGTAGGTACATGAATGAGTTGTTCGATGAATTATAATCTAAAAAATATTTTAGATGAACAAGGTTTAATTAAATCTGTAATTGTTAGAGAATCAAAAAATATCAGAGAATTTTTTATAAATAAGTATGATGTAGATATCAATATAATTTCAACCACAGTAACCTTCCATTAATCACTCTTAATGACAAACAACAGTATCATAGGGAGAGGATAAAAATGCATAGAAATTTCCATCAATCCATAATAAATTCAGTATTGACTTTCTGGATATATTTTTTATTTGGTAAAGCAATCTAACCAATATACTAAAAGACATCTCAAAGCGATGATCTCAAGCTGGTAAGAGTTATCACATTGAGACTATTTAAAATGTAGTAGTGAAGGATCCACAGATGTACAAAGGACAGAGTAAAAATTCAAACATCTGTAAAGGCAGTATCGTGTATGCCATTTACGATGCAACATTAGAACTGGTGCTACTGGGAAAATACATGACACAGCAACATCAAAGCCAAAGTTATTTATAGCTCTCATCTTTGGTTAATGTGCTGGTTAAACAAGCGAGGCTAAAGAAATTAAGAAATAACACTGCCTTTGATAATTACAGAATACTCTTCAAATATTTTCTGTAATTAAAATAACTACCAAAGTATTTGAAACTGTTACAAAGCTGGTGTCCAGTTGTATGGTTAACATTAAGCAAACAATTAAACACACAACACATTAATGGCATTCTGTGCCCCTGAGCCTTAGTTAATCAAGGGTGGAAATATACCACAGGTCACCATCAGAATTCCCAAACATACAAGCTGAATTACCTTGCAAAATAATGTCATTAGCAGCTGTTGTCTGATAGCCAGACTTTGATGCATAATCGCATTTGCCTTGAATTGGATCACAATGCCATATCTGACTGTCACAGTTGAAACTTGTGCCATGGATACCAATCTCATACCAAGCATACTACATATATCAACAGTTAAAATTTTTTTAAATTTCACACAACTTTAACAAATTATCTAACATACAGGATCACTAGAATCTTACAAAGCATTAAAATTCTACCCAGAGCGCCAAGAGAAAAAAAAACAAGCACAAGGAAAAATTATCTTACCGAGTAGCAGGAGCCTGTGGGTGGCCCTATAGACCTGCTTATCCTTTTGAAGCTGCCTGGTGATAGCGTCGGATCGCCTCTTCTGGTTTTTGCTGTCATCCTGGCTGGCCTTGCTGCTCTGGCTACCGAAACACCCCATGACACAGGAGACTTCACCCGCGACTTCCCTTTCCACCTTGATAATCGCGAGGAGGTAGAGAAACACCCCCGACCTTTGAAAAGAGCCAGCCTCCCTCTCCTAGCCACTAGGCACCGGGCTCACCGCGCGAGAGCATAGCCGCACTGTGCTGCACCAGAAGCTGCGTTCAGATGTAGTATCCCGTGTATAACAGTCGATTTCACAAGAGAACAAAAAATATCGTCCGCGATGACGAGCACCGTCAATGACGATGGGGACACGACGATCACGTAAAGAAAACACGAGGTCCGCCACGAATTGATCTGTCAAGTAAAATTTCAGACAGAGCTGGTAACGATCGTTAACGATCGCCTTTCCGAGCAAAGTTCCTCGGGTGTGTTAAGTTTGTTGTGGAAAACGAGCGACCGGCCCGCGGGCTGGCGCGCGTTTCGACGGCGTAACGCGGAAGCTTGCCCTGAGAGAATTATCCTCCGGGTGTTCTCTGGGAAGATATGTCGGGTGGGTGCTAGCGATGGTGGCTTATCAGAGCTTGAGCTAGGGCAAGCAGGTATAGCTCTTAAAATTCCAAGGTTCAAACAATGCACTAGGTGGTCAAACGTATTCGAGAGGAACGAGGACAACTAGCTGTTCGAGTGCTTGATTGCCAGTGCTCCTACGTTAAAATAGATCGGTGAGCCGCTCAACTTGACAGGCGAGAAAGGGGACGTACGGGAAGACTCGTCCTCTTCCTTGTTCTCACGATTTCCTAGCTCCACCGACGTCCTCGAGCTCTGCGACGACACACACGAAGGCTCAACGATAGGTGTTCCCCGGTTATCCTAGGAGGCTCGTCCTGGCCTCCTGGTATTCTTCTGACTTTGAAAATTCACTACGAGAAACTGAACGACACCACACCAGGATCGTAGTACCGGCTCTCCACTTGTCTTCACACTCTCTCTCTCTCTCTCTGCCTATTGCTCCTCTCTTTTTCTCTCGGCACTAATCTATCTATCTTTATCTCCCTCCTTCGTACTCTTCCTCACTCTCTCGTTTCCTACGACGTCTCTTCTTTCACGCACTCTACCTAGATCTCTATCGCGCTCTCTCGCTCTCACGTCCAACCGCGATCTCCGCCTCTCCTCACTCAAGAATCCCCGAGGAAACTCGCGGCCGTAACGTCCGAGACGAGCTGCTCTCTCCAGCCAACATGTCGTCTGCTAGGGCCACCAGCGCGACGGCCCAACGCGCTACGAGGAACGACAGACTCGTAGTGGCTTTACCTGGCGCCCCTGGTTTACGTGATCTCTTGTAACTTTGCCTTCTTTAATCTTCTGGTGCCGGGAGCGTTCTGCCTGCGTTACTGCGCGATTGGCTATGGGCAACTGAGACAGACTAACATCATTGGCTGTTACGTTTGTGCTCACTAGTGACATCTACGAATCTATATGTATATATATATATATATACACACATATACACAGTATGTTCTGTACCTGAGACTTAAATTTTTAATCTTTTATTCTTGCAACAATATCATTATATTTTTAGAAAATCACGAAGAAATAATGTTCACGCAAATTATGTGATTTTTTAAATTACATACTACATTTAACTGGGTTTGAATATTGAGAATGATCGTTCGGATCTACTATAGAAAGTGTAAATTATAACCGGGGCACTAGGATCCTTTTATTACGTTCCTGGTCTTTACGAATGCTGACCGAGGATCGATCGGGTCTTTTCGTCGGTGAACGCCGAAAGCCTACAGGTGCTGTCGGTGATTTTCCGGGCACATCTGATTCGCGCTAGGTTTTAAACAGACATTTCTAGTCCCTTGATATTTCTCATCGAAAACTCAATAATTGTAGTGACTAAAAAGATGCATATTAATATTTCTCTAGATGAACGAGCTTTGCGAAATACATAGAATAAAATCCCTGAAATTATTAATGACAATTCTTTTCTAAATTAACTTTGAATATATATTCAATTTTCGAGTATCAAATTGACTTAACTTATGAAGGAAAAACCGAAGAGTCATCGACCACCATATTTCTTTTTCCAGTCCATGTCGTAAAAGAGAAAAAAATAATCATATATCCTCAATTTCAACAGAGTTCCTCTACCCGTATTAAAACTCCAACGCTACACTATAACGTTTTTTTTTTAATATTTTTATTCAGCCAGATCTGGTTCCACGAAAATCACTAGCTGAAGGTATAACGTAAAGCGTTGCTAGGGTGATGTAAAAACGTCGACGTGTAATTAAAATAATATACATACGCGCCTAGTCGGCTGGTTATAAACGTGTAGTTATGTGCGTATACCATAATCTATACCTACAAACATAAAGTGGGCTGATCAGTCGTCTTATCTTATCTTGGACGTTCAGCAAGTTTCATTGTGAAAACTAAAGTTACCATTTTGCTCAAAGTCTCGAATTAAACTTAATGTCAGATTTATACTAGGATGCTCAGATTTTGATTTCTAAGCAAATCATATACATGGATGTAATGTGATTAAATTTCTTAACAACTTCTACGAGAGACGGTAGAACATGTCAAGTATATTGATCACTTTCTTATTTACATTGTTTATTAATACATGACATTCATGGCTGAAGAAAAATCATCAGGAATGGCAAGTAATACACTAATACATGTTAAGTATAAATGCAAAACGGGTTTTCACGTTGGTAAATAATATTCGTTGATCACTGTATCACAACATGATATACAATGAAAGTTTAATGGAAATTGATTATAGCCACCTGCATAATTAAATGTCGAGGGAAATGTATTACTTGGAACGGAAATGTTGGTGCTGATTGTTTATGGACACATAACGCTTGATGTTGTAATATTGAATGTTTATGCGAAGAGTGAATTCGAACAACTATGATAATTGTATATTATAAATTGAAGATAGAATAAATGCATTTAACCTGATGAATATGATAAATCTATAGTCAGTTAGGCGCGACTATAAACATGTCAATTTTTTGACTAAGGCTGTGTAATAAGGAGACGAAGAAACCGCGGAGGTTATTTTTTGAAATTTCATCTTCAACATCGGCTAAATGACTCCATTTTTAAGAATAATTTAAATTGAAGAGACTGTTAAAATATGGAAAGAGGCTACAAAAGTAAGTAAAAAAGATAATTTTTATAGTTTAAGAGAAACTTTGTAATCATAAAGTTCTTGAATGAGGAGCGAGTTAACCGCGAAATTCTTAACGCGAGATGAAATCTTCTTGACGAATTTCGCTCGCGTTATCTGAATATTCACGTAATGGCTGCTACCGCAAAATCCAAATGACTCCGAAGTCCCATTTCGCGTTTCATGGTCGGAAGGTGGAGACGAAGTTGGCATCTTTCCAAGATGCCCGACCCGCGGCTGGAATTAAGGAGGTAAAAGTACAGTTCTCTTGATTCCATGAAGTTCGATCATGCCCACGTCATTTCCTTTACGTGGTGTCTCTATGGTCTACAGTTTCGAGCCTTTCAAATCTCCAGGCTTTGTATCATCAGCCAGTAGAGCATTTAAATCGAGGTCTTGTAAATTTATCGGATGCTGATTTGAACCTTAAAATATGAAACAATTAAGATAGTTAGAAAAGTCTTGAATAATAGCTCAGAAAGAGGATTCAATATTTTTATGTTTCTAACAACACTTAATGTACTTACCAGCATGTGCTAGGAACAGATCTTTCAAAAATCCTAATTCTTTCGTGAGCATCTTAATTTTTTCTTCTAACAATTCATTCTCTGTTTTCAACTGATTTACACGTTCTAAGGTCTGCTGAGTACGTAGCTTACTTTTAACTCTGGAACGCTTGACAGCCTATAAAATAGCCAAAATGAACATATATCGTCAAGTAAAAATACAAATCAAATAAAAACATAAGGTTTCAGGAAACAATGACACATGAACATACCTGATTATTTCTGTCACGACGTCTTCTATAATCTTCGTCATCTTCTTCCTCTGACACTGGTCTCTTCTTATTTGCCATTGCAGAATTTTCCTTGTTCCTTGGTGCCATCTAACATATTTAAAAAAAACAGACAAATGAATATGGCTATAAGGATTATATTTGTATAAAGATCACATTATTTCAACAGGAAACACTGTATTCTATCACTAGAAACAAGTCTCAAATTTTGCAAAATTTCTATATATCCACAGCAGATTTGACTACTTTAACTTCAACCCACTCTTCACTACATATCCACTAAAAAGAAAAATTAAAATTTATGTGATCAACAACATTGTTTACCAAGAACCAATGAATGCTATGTCTCTTTCTGAATAACAGTGACTACTATACTTTCATCAGCCATAGTTAATGACAGACGCGTATACTAACCGACAATCGAGTTGCAATCACACAATGCCAATGGTGTATTTACCCAATAAGGCCTTGAAACAGTTGAGAAATCGGCCCTGACATCTTCACACCGCTGTATCTTGTTCGACATAGTCAAGTACCGCGAATTACTTATTATATTAGTTCTATGTGAATTATTCGATTTTCGAGCCAAGCAAAATTTTTATTAATAAGGAATACGATATTATTACTACCACATATTTCTCATGTGATTAAATTACTGTTTCGAACATGTCAATTGACCGTTTTAAAAATACGCAAAAAATTTAAATACATATTCACATGACATACTTTTAAGAGTATGAAATATATTCATATTTTAGAGTGGGGTACTACTATCACACACCATATTATTTCGTTGAGCAATTTCTATTTACGTAAGATAAACAAAAACTGTGTTGAAAAATTTTACAACGGCATTGAAAAATACAATAATTTATCACGAGCCAACTAGTATTCATTTAATCGAATTGGAATAAAGAGTGACAATTAAAAAAATATATGTTGTGTCACTTCAAAACTAGCGTTGATTCACTGTAAATAAGTTTGCGAATTGCGTAACTTTATCAAAAACAAATATAACTTTTTGCGTAATATGTAATTATCTAAAAAACGTAAATAAATTGCATATGTACATCTACGCATTTACGAAGTAAAACCGCAAACCGCACCGCCAAAACTTACGAGATTAAAGAGGAAATACAGGGAGAGACGACGATGACGAAATTCATGAATCATGCCTCTACGAAAACGTGTGTAATCAAATATTTGCCATCCAAACTAGTGCATTATCAATCTATTCTACAACAATTTACCAAAGAGACGAGCCAATACTAAAAGCCCCCAAAAAGAGGATAAATAATGAATTACAAGATATACAACAATGTAAATCTACAAAAACAAAAAGTATTGTCAGACGTCAATAATTTATAGACTAACCTTCCTGCGACGTTTCTTTCCACGAGCCATTTTCGACTTTGAACAAAGCCTCGTTTTTATTCTTAGGAAATTTAAGACAAACTGTCTAGCGTTACGTTCAATGCGGTGTTCCGATTTTCTACGAAATATTTTGACACGAGCTTTTCTTCAGCACTAAAAACGCGTCGTACCTGCGCCAGATTGATGTTTTTGGAAAAGATGGTACAACGTAACAGTTGTACCACACGGGTCGAATATTTTAGAATGAAAAATAAAACTGTTGACGCATTATTTTCACATACCTCTGTATCCTTTTGTCTTTTAACGAAAATATTCTTCTGGAATTATTGATGTTTCACACTTTTATACAGTAATCCAACGGTACCATGTGCAGTACGTCGCAATACAGACACAGTTGGATGGTGTCAGATGGCGTAAAGATGACGCAACTGTAGACGAAAAGTTCTCACCCAGTGACGTCAGGCATATAAGAAATTGTGTTGTAAGCGGGAATTTTAAACTGTCCTCTACATATCGTGTTCCATTTACCCACAGATTTGTTTTATGCGCATTTTCTAGCATGGCCTTACAGCTATTGGACAAATGTCAGTAATTCGTTTTGTATGTTCAGCAGATTTATTATATTTCTATTATCAAGATGCAAGCCTACGACCATCATAACTCTAAATCCGCAAAACTATCCTTTTGATTACACAGTTTTTCTCATTCATTTGTAGACTCAACTTGAATTCGTTCGAAACGCCTCTAGCGGACACTAAGCCAAGTTCATGGATTTTTTTTATGGTAACTACTGATGCTAAAATCGACCGTCGAGAAGTTAGCGTTAAATAGTAAAAATGTCTATGAACTACATTATGGCATCATATGTTGAGTGAGTATCAGCAACATTTCATTTGCAGCTCTGTCACTAGATGGCGCGCATTTAGCAGATGCACCTTCCTTTCTTTTCTTCTCTTACTGCATGCATCTTACAGTACATCTACCAGAGCAGATGCATCTAAACTGCCTCAAAAAATGGTTGGAGCCGAACTATGAACTATCCAACTGTGAAAGGCAGTGCAAGGGAAACTGTTTACGAGACATTTTATGCAAACAAGTATTCACGATAAACTGTGTATAATCAATATTTTTTCCGATTGTACACAGAAGACTTTGCACCGACTAGATATTAATACACACATATAATAGAGTCATTAATAAGCTTAGAATAGTCAAAAATCGTTAAAAGACATGCGATTAAGAACGAATTGTAGATAGAAAGAAAGGTGTAGAAATTCAGAGGCTTCAAAGAGATTTGAAAAAGAAAATGAAACGTATTGTAAAACTGGCAGCCACAAGAAAATATTGAATATTTCACGAGAAAATGCTTAAACGTTTATTTTCATGATGCTATACGATATTGCTCCTCCAATAACTCTAAAATTCTTCGTGCGAAATTTCATATTATGCCGTCGGCTTATTCAGGTAAATGAATGTTCAATTATCGGCAACCGCTGCGCCGGTAAATTCTGACGGCTGCGCCCTCTTCGTCGTTTTATGGAACTAAAATAATTTCGTAATAAGCGCCAGCACAGCTATGTAAATTGCCGAGACACCCTGTATAAATTTGCAACGCTCCCCTCGTCAGACTTGACACTAAAAACTTTAAACACGGTCGCTGCTTCGCTTTCAGATAAAACACTGAACCGTAAGATAACGAGGTGAAACTATGAACAAATTAAGTGACGACTAGATACAATAGTAATAGAAGAAAGGACGTGCAAGCGTGTCAGATTAACGCGCATGATAAATTATCTCGCACGTGACAGAAAGTGTCTTAATAAAACGTAAAATCTGCCCCAGGAACTACTGGACGCTTTTATCTTCTCCCTTGAGGTTTTTTGCTGAACCAAAGAAATTATTTTTTTACCTGAATCTTTTTTACAAGACTCTCTTTTTGCTTTTACGATTTCTATGTACCTATATCATCCCCTTTATCACTCTCTTCAAACATTGATATAAAATTACACATTCGAAATAGAGATTGAAATCGTAACGTTGATAATTTTGTTTTTTCTTAGAGTATCCTAACGAATATTCATCAAGCAACTGTCGCAACATCTCGCAACTCGTAAACCTGTCATAGGTTTGTGTATATATATATACACACCTCACGTACCTCATCGACTTTGTTGACTGTGACTAAACACTACAAGGAACCTCCTAAGTAAAATTCTCAATCTTTCCCAATTTTTTTTCAAGGAATAATATACAAATTTGTTTTTTCTTTTTTGCGAGCTTCCTAAAGAAAATTTAGAAAAATATAGTTAAACGTTACATAAAATTTAGATTATGGCCTGGAGATATACATTACTTGACAAGCTTACTCTTAATCTGGAACCACGTAGAGTAACGAACCTTCCGGTACCTGATTTATACATCACTATAACAAGGAAGACAAGGAGACACAATTAAATTGTCTATACAGTTATTAAAGGTATTCGTATATCATGATCAAGCTGAAAAATCTTATAATAACAATAATAGTAACACCCAAGAATATTCTGGTTAACTGTGACGAACGGAGCTTTGGGAACGTACGTAATAGGAATTTAATGTAAAATCCAACGAGGAAAATAAAAACAAACAAGACTTGGATAATTATCGATTTTAATGTATCTCATTCGTAATTGATATCGTTTAAGACATAACAAAGTTAAGTTAGGCCTTCTAAAAATATTATTTTGAATTTAGAATGGCGAGATCGTGTATTCGTATATTTGGGGTAAAGACTGATGATATGCAAAATGAATTTGTGCATATAATTCAAATCATTGATTATTTATACTAAAGATTATTATACAAAAATTAGCCTAAACTAACATTTACCAGAGGAACTTTGCACATGCCTTAAACGTATATACAGAGTTAGTCAGAAACAAACGCACCAACTGAAGTTGGGCGCAAGTGGCCGACACGGCAGTGTGGCCTCTCCAAAAAATGACAGCTAGGCACAGCTCACCGCGACCAATTCACATAAGTGCACACTGGCAGTTCGCATAGCAATAAATTAGCAATAACCTAACCTATTGTTATGCCAAGTGTCAGTGTGCGCTTATGTCAATCGGCCACACTGCTGTGTCGGCCACTTGGGCCTAACTTCAGCCGGTGCGTTTGTACCGACTAACTCTGTACATCGTACTATACGAATAATCAAATTCACGTACGTATTGCAAGAGTGCAACGATTTGAAGTATCTCCTGGATCTGACGTCAGTTTTATAATGTATAGAGAAGAAAGAAATAAATAAATTTCGAAGAAAAAATGTTAACCTCACGTCATAGCTAATCGACCAGTTTCCATTTGCCAAATTTAATTTAACATTATGTTTCTCTCCTTACGCTTGATATACAATGTATACATATGACATTCCCGAAGGGGATTATGGCAGAGAAAACCTATGCATAGAAATCTCATGAAAAATATATCAACCATCCATTTCCTTAGCACATCACGAAACGTACTAAATATTCCCCACGGAGAACCCAGGGCATGAGCTATACCTGCACTTTTTTTTCACGTGTAAAATTGACATCGTTATATTGTAAGGAAAACAGAAAGAAAAGAATATACAGGACGTTTACCAAAATATGAAGAAAAAAAAAATCAATCCACGTGATATCTCATTCAACTGAACCGACCCCAATATCGAGCCGTAGAGAACGTAAAATTGAATTTATATATTTACTTTGGCATTTTTCCTTCAAATATCTATGTGACATCGGAAATATTATGTGTTTTCCTCTCAAATAAAATTCCTACTATTTCGTCAATTCGGGATGTCTCAATGTATAATAACGATATTAACAAAAATGCAACTGATACGGGCGATAATATTTTTCCTGTAAATACATATTTCACATAACCTAAATAGTGAAAAAAAATATTAATCCAAGTCCAATTCTATAAAGCCAGTTAGATTAAAGCTTGCAAAGAGATTAAATTTATGATAAGTTATGTTGTAAAAATCAATGCTTCGTATTAATTGATACATGTTATCAAACATTAAGCTAAGAGACACAGATAATGAATTTATACAGTCAAAAGAGTTATTCACGGAGATTTATCTTTCCGATTTATCTATCCCTTGTTAGATTTCAGCTTGTCAAAATCATTTCACGTTTTATTTGTCGACCAGGACAATGATGGAGGATAATGAAATTATACGGAAAAAAAAACTTCCAGGATTACAGTATCAAATAAAATCACACCCACATATACAGAAATAAGGATTCCCTTTACGCGTGATTCTAAAGCCGCTTTTGAAGGGTTCGTATACTTAGAACGAGGCCTGGATTTTTACAGAAGCCTTTTTTTTATTACTTTTGGATAAAATGATTTACGTTTATGTTACATGGAGTTTTGGAACCATTGATATCCTTACTACAAATTTCTTCAATGTTTAGAGTCTTATCACGAACGTACCTTTGTGAAAATTCATCTTCTGAACATTGGAATTCCTTCGTGGATGGACGTTCGCTGTTTTGTGATGGAAACAGTAATATCGCTGATTGCGAAAGTAACCTGAAAAATGACCGTATATGGTATATTACATATATGTGTATATATCTATATGTATAACTATATAGAAACTAACCTGTACCGTTAGCATGTTGCAATGTGAAATGATTATTAATGGTTCTAAGTAGTTGGAATTTATGAGTTCTCTTGAGCGTCACGCTATACCATGTAGTAGCCCAGCATTAGCCCCAAGTAAAACGTACTGCCATCAACACAACCCTCTCACTCGTTATCTTCTCTATCGAATATTTCTCGCACTGACGAAGCGCGCGCTAGGCGAGTACGACGACGCCATCTTGGCTCAAGGAATCCCGAGTCAAAATAACTACACTATTAATTGCGTTCATACCCAAGTGCTCGTAAATAATGTGCATTGTCAGGGAGCTTAAATTGTTTCTTCAACTAACTAAATTATTTGGCTTCACTCCATATTCTTTGGAAAAGATAGAACTGCCTATTCAAAAGTATGCTGTCGCGTACTCGTTATTTTGTGCCGGTTTTTACGGATTCGTTATTTACCAGAGATCTATAGAAGTCAGCCTCGGAGATGTCGATAAGCTTTTTGTTTTGATGATAATCAGAACAATATTAGCGAACGTGGCTCTATGGAATGATATTCTGTTCGGAATATTTTATCGAACTAAGCTTGTAATAGCTTTTCAAAAAATATGGAGATATGATCTGGAAACCAGGACGGCACTTGACAAGCGCGTGGTTCGTTATTCTTGGACCGTTATTTTCTTTATTTTTTTTAATGACGTTTGCATCAGCTTCTTAACATATTTTTCCGAAACTCAAAAACCTGGATTAGTTGTCGTTTTGTATAATATGATTTACGTTCCCATGTCGTTTAGTATATTTAAATTTACTCTTATCGTATACGCCATACAACGACGGCTGCAACGTTTGAACAAAATGGTTTCAGCGGGTATGCCAACAAAAAATTTTGTAAATTTTTATTTATTGTATATTTTTGCTATTGGTATACTTTTTTTTTTAACAGGCATGAGATCTGTCATTGCGGAAATTAATATTGGATGTCCTCGCGTCTCGATGAAGGATGTTCGCTGGCTTCACAGTTGTCTCATTTCGGCCATTAAGGATGTGAATTCGCTATACCAACTTCCATTATTTCTATGGATCGTCACACTGACGTTTAATATTACATCCAGAATCTATTCTATTGGTCAGAACAGTGCCTCGTTGTTGCTGATACTGCGAGAATGTAATATGATACTATTCTGTACTGTGCTTCTGATAACTGTGATAACAATTTGTCATGTGACTGCTTGTGAGGTAATTAATTTAGTTAATTAATTTAATATACGAAATTATATCAATTTCAAGATTTGTATATGTATCATGTTATATCATCAGGCAAACAAGACTGGATGCATTATGTTTTCCCCTCAACTAAAATTTGTTCAAAATCGTACATCGACCAGCGGAGAAGTAAATGTAATGTGGATTGATGAGAAATAATTAACCATATACATAGATTTGTTGCTAGAAATAATTTCAAAGAAATTATTTGTTTCAGGAAGGTATCAGTGTCGGCCAATACTTCTTATTTCATCCCATTCACTTCTCAGCGGCTGCCGGAATTATTACAATCGACTTACCGCTCTTACTCAGTGTAAGACATAGGTGTATGTCAGAAAAAAAAATGACAATTAAAAGTTAATAATTTTTTTTAGATTGCAGGAGCAATGACGACGTACCTTGTTATATTACGAGTGCCTAACGTAGGTTAATTCCAATTTAAAGAATTTTTATTAAATATAAAAACTGAGGATTTATTCAATAATACTACAGTCGTGTTTGATATAACGTAAGGTTAGTAAAGAAAAAAAAGAGAATAATTTCAACACATTCTGATGTGTATTACAAAAGCATCGAAAGTACCATTAAAACTTGTCTATGAGTATTACCAAATTTTTTATTGAACGTGAATAAAAATAAGTTGACCTACTTTCAAGAAACATTCAAATCATTAAAAATTTTTGTCCGAACGAAGTTCTTTCAATCTAAGTACAATAATTTTGAAAAAAATTAAACCAACTTTCAGTAATTATCTAGAAGGTACTTCCTTGTTTTTCGTGTATTTCGATAAAACACAATATTTTTCTAAATAAGTATTCTACTCAGTGAAATTATTATTCTGTTCAATTGGCAACGATTGCCTGTCGCGCGGTGTGAATAGTGCCTAAATATTTATCGAGTCTATACCATTACCCTTCAGTATGCACCGACTTCGAAGCTCGTACTCGGAAGCACACGAACCAGCACTTTGCTGATTGGCTTATGAACTTAACTGTAAAGTGCGAGAAGAAAAATTTGCAGCAACTCTGGCAACACGCGAGCCTCGTCAAACGTTGAGTTCCATACACCAACGAATGTTCTCGAAGAGCGTCAGTGGCTGCTGAGATAGGAAAGAGACGTTAGGAAAATTAAAAAAAAAGTGTTGAATTTAATGACAAAAAAATATCTAACTAATTAAATAATCATATTGGTGCTAAAATCATGATACTACTTACTGACATTAAACCGTTGTTCTACATTAATTTACTTTTTGGAAATCCTCCACACGTTATTTTCAATAACAGCTTTGCCATTACCAAATTAGGATCAATATGTTCTCTCCTGTGGTCCTCCGTATTTTTATGTTACGGATACAAGAAAACTTTGTATATAGTTAATGATGCAAATGAAATAAGGTCGTTGATACTGAAAGTGTTCCGTCTTTTTTTGGTCTTGTTGTGTATATTCAATAACGTTGTTGTCGGTTATTATTCGCACAAGAAACTCTGCTGCGTTACCGATAATCTACGAAGTTACGACTTAGCCACGAAGATTGGACATACTGGAAATCGTCGAATTCGTTACACGATGTGGACTTTGGTGACTGTGCGGATTATTTGTTGTATTATTGTGGGTTATACTTATCACCTGTATCACGAACATGATTTCTTAATTTTATTTCGTATGATTGAGGTCGCGTGTTTCTTTTTGCAAATTGACAAATTTATGGGAATCGTGTTACTGCTGTACTCAAGATTTCGACACCTGAATGAACTCCTACTAACGAACGGTGAGACTCGAAAGAACTAAAATTCATATTAACAATGCAAACACTGAGTCATTGTGACATTATTTTATATCATCTTCGTCATTGTTTAAAATTAATAATCGAACTAATTCTGCTATTTGAACCTGCAAGGGCTGTATGTTGGTACACTGCATGATATTTTAATTGCAGAGTGTCAATTTATATGTTACTTAAATTTTATTTATTTCAGATGTCCGTGTAAATGTACACGTGAGAAGTGATCGTGGATTACGTCTACAAGATGCATGGTGGTTACATAATTGTTTGATGGATGCTGCAGAGATCTTAAATTCTACTTATTCCATGCAGCTTCTATTTTGGATCACTACTATTACAGTTAACATTACTTCTCGGATCTATATTATAAGCGAAGCATGGTCAGATGAATATATATCCAAATTCCAAGACAAATTTTTTACTGTATATGACATAATAACTCTTGTAACGCTTACAACGATATGCCACGTCACAGCTGACCAGGTTAAAAAAATATCTTTTTATTCGAGAACATGAAAATTAGTTCGTCGTTGCAAATTATTTTTTAACTTTTATTACAATTTTTTTTGTCATTTTCATTCGAATTTTTTTTTACAATTATTATTACACTCTTTGAACTTTTTTTTCAGGCTAACAAAAGTGGCCCAACAATTTTCTCATCGTCATTAGCACCGTCTCGAAAATTCGGTTTCGCTACGGTAATTGTACTACATACAGTCGATTAAAATTAATTATTAATTATTGACATTATCAATTGGTTATCAATAGGAAAATATCGAGGTGGGTATGTACTTTAAATTAAGACAACTCGAATTCTCAACTAACGGTGGCTCCATTCGCGTGAATCTGCCACTGTTACTTTCGGTGAGTAAAGTTATTATTATATAGCTTTTCAATAACGAAATTGCCGACCCATGAAAATTGATCAGAAGCCTAACGGAGGATATCTTTTCTCTTATAATTAACATACACCTATACTGTCTTAGTAATAACATTACTATCCTAATAGATCAGTGCTGGCATTACTACGTTTCTGGTTATACTAAGTTCATGAACGAAACGGGTAATTATTTTAAAAAATGTAACAATGAAAAAAATTTTGTAAATAATAAATTCATTATTTTTTTTCCAGCCTTAAAAAGCGCCGCGAATTTGCATTGTTTCATTTATTAAAAGATCAAGAAATGGCCGTAGTTACTCGTACGCAAAATTAATGTCAGGAAAAAAAATTTACTTTACCTACTTCACTTCCAAGAAGCTCCGAAGGCAAAACCACTTTAATGAAATTGTGCAAAATTACTTGGAAGCTTGTGAATTTCAAATAAACCAATCTTCGATGTAATCTGGTGATTGTCAAGGAGGCCGCAAACAAAATGCATATCGATGGGCAAATACAAGTAGTATGAAAGCTTTTTCGTATTAACCAGCGTACAAAGCTTCAGTTGTCAGAAGACTTTTCTTGATACAGTATCGAGTGACAGTGAAAGAAATTCGATATAGGAGTATAAAAAAAAATGTTCTTTCGTCGAATCTCAGCTCTTTTGTACTTGTCCCGAATCTTCGGCTCTGTACCGTATAAGATTACGTCATTAGATTTGCAAAAATCAAAATGGGCACGTGCCTACTCTTTCTCTTTGATATTGTTATATATTATTCTAATTTTATTCGCGTACACTGACTTCCATATGCCACCTGATATGAGAGTTCTAGTGATTATACTTCATGTGTTAAAGTTTTTATCGTTGATCGGTGACATTTTAATGTCTATTGCAATGTATGGTGATTTTCCAGTGATATTCATGGAAATGAATCTTTTTGATAATCAAATCAATTATCGTATACCTAATCTCATATCAATTTATTCATTTATATATCCAATCTTATTAGTTACTACTCCCATTTTATTTTTGATCTGCACGTTTTTACAATCTTATGAAAAAAATGTTATTGATCTTCGCCAACCTAGTATTTTCAGTTACTTAATAATCAATACTGTTATTAATGCAAGTAGTATGATATTCGTGGTACTTATGGAGTCTATGCTGTCACGATTTCGACATTTGCATCGTCTCGTACAGTCAGGTATGGATTTTTAATATTTATCATTCACTGATGCTTAATCGACTGATAACAGATCGTTGTTTCTCTTTGACAGTAGGTTCTACGACACTCTTTGGTCCTGGAGAGGAATTCTCAAACGATCTGGGTCCACGTGACATTTGGAAATTATACGAGCGCCTGGTTGCCACTACTGAAAAAATAAATGACCATTATTCCATGCAGATTTTATTCTGGATATCCCACGCGTCTTGTTCAATTATTTGTCGATGTTACATTATCTCGACGTCAGCATTAGGAAATGGGAGGTTAAACATCATTACCCATGTTATTGGTACATTATCACAACTTTTACTGGTTATTTCAATCAGCAGCGTATGCCACTTCACTATGCTTGAGGTGTGAAAGGACCTTTATACCAAATATAATTTTCAAGTATTAGAGGCTTATGTAAATTGGTCCCCAGGCAAACAGGATCCCAGTTTCCTTATTCTCCCCGAAAATCTGGATGCGGTATCACGCGAGAGGCACGATGGGGGTAAGGAAAAAAATCTTCAGCCCTTATCCAGACAAATATAGTTTTTTAAGATTTTTTTTCCGTTTAAATATGAAAATATCACATTTTGTCTTACAGGACAACTCGGACGTTTGTATGTACTTTGGATTGAGGAAACTCAAAGTTAAAGCCGGATTTGGCTTGGTTACACTCAATCTACCTGCAATAATATTGGTACGATAAATATTAATATCACTCAGAAATTTATCATTGATTCAAGTATTTTACATCATTGTTCTTTTTATTCCATTTTTTCTTTTTTATGTAATCTATCACATTGCAGTTTATCAGCTTAACAAGCACGTATCTTCAGTTTGTGCTGAACGAGAACATTGAGTAGCTCAAAATGGCAGCGGAGGAACCCCTTGACCTGAGTTAAGGATCGGGTGAATGGGGATGCGGCCGTGAAGGATTCAAGAACTACGTTCCGATTTTCTAAGGAACGCTGTAAACGATGTTAGATTTTACTATGTATAATTATTGTGCGGTTAATTTATTTTTATCTCAACCGTTATAACTTAAGCTATTAATCACTTTGAATTGCTCTATTATTAGATACGAGTTGCGTAAAATATTTTTAACTATGAAAAAGAAACTCAAATTCAAAGTCTTCTTTTGTGTGGTTCTTCGTTGATATAATGATAACGATATCGACTTTCTTCCTGGTGATAAAATATACGTCGAGTCGTTCTATTATATTAAGAAAAATATAATATTTTTAATAACGATACAGGCTTAAGGCACATGTGATGTGTTAGATCTTTCCCTTTGAAATATATATTTATTCACCCAGGATTACGACGCACCCAACTTAGATTCTGTAGAATAGAATATTCAAAGGATGTGTAAATTTAAGATTTGATCTGTTAGCACTCAATTAAGAAGTTAGTGATAAGAGCATCCTATGATGGTGGAATTCATTAAAATTTTAAATGTCTTGCTTAATATTATACAGTATGTCTCCCTGTGGCACCTTGTAGGATGAGAGAAGTTTATACATTTTTTAATGAAACTTTATATTACTTTTTAAATAATTAATAGATACGCAAAATGTATTAGGAGCAAACGAATATGATGACTCACAGAGGTAAATATTTTGAAGTATTTCGAATACTGACAAGAGCAGCTTTGCGATTGGCTCTTTGTCAAGTGGTGGGGACAGAAGCCTAGGATGAACTTAGGGTACGTTTTTGAAATTCACTGTATCATCTGTCTCTGTTTACCTGAATGCAACTGAGCGAGAATAATTGTATTTATGTACCAACCTCTGTGCATTGTCGTGTTTATGTAATTTTCACAATTTCGAAACTGTTTGCACAATTTATATTCATTGTTCTGGCTACAGCTGCAGGCTGCTCTCCCATATCCATGTCAGAGTGTTGATTCGATTTTTGTCATAATTTTTCTTCGCGCCTTTCAACAGATTTGTATTCATTTATATATAACACGAATAATTAGTCATGTGTATCTAAATAAAGATGAATACCGAAATAATGGCTGGCATGACTCGTTATAAGACATTATAGGTCTAAGGCCAAGAATATTTTTCATAATTATATGAACCTCCAAGATCTCTTTGTAATTATCATCCAATCGATTAGCATCCCCAGTACCCGTGCAGAGCTGCTGACAAAGGATAATATTAATTGACGTTCGCTTTCAGGAATAAAATTTCTTACTTTCTTCTTGTGCAATCACGTCAAAAAAAAATCTTAATTTTACCCATTGTGCAAGTTTCTTGAAAAATTGCCAATTTATTACAGGCCTAATCGATTGATCGACAATGGACGCTCTCATGGTGTCTATAGGTAAGACTACATTTTATTCGGAAAATTACCTAAGGTCTTGATAAAACCGATTATACAGGGTGCTCGAAATTTTACGTCTACGAAATGTACAGTGTTGAATTTTGAAAAAAAAAATTATATGATACATGACTTGAGACGTTAAATGATATATAAAAACTAAATTTGAAAATTTTATACGTACAATAGTTTTTGCTGAAAAATGCGTTTAACTTTTATCAATCAGGATAAACCTTGAGTAATCATAGTTACACTTCCCTCCAATTTATAAGTTTCCTTCCCTCTTTTTTTTATTACTCTCCTTTAGTCTTGTGGTTCTTGTTTGGTCATTAATTTTGTATGTGGAAGCATAGGCCATGCCAGGTCACAGATGAATTAATTCTGAAAAAAAAAGAAAATGTTAACATACATCTTATCAGTCAGTCTACTTTAACCACAGAGTTTGACAAGTGAAATGAGCATTAAGTATCGATCTCCATTTGTAAATTGAGATGAGCGATTAATCGTGAAGCTTTTGCCGACTTTGTACTGCGATTGCGCTTTGTTTATCTAATCATTCATTTGTCAAACTGTTAGGCAATACTCGTAGCGGAAGAAACTTACAATTAGTTCTGGTTGGTCGCTCCATTTTCGGTGAATTACACGAGGTCGTAAATTTTCAAGACAATTGACGGCCCACGCGATATTTACGACGCAATAAAGTCAATGACTCGGTGGATGAATGTGGGCGGGAAATTTGAAAATTTCGATGCTACGATCATATAAAATCTTTATGCTGGATTATATTTACCTGTTATCGTGCTATCGTATCTTTGATTCTTTATGAAAGACACGGGTTATCAACAAAAATTTAATAGTCAATGACTATAATGAATCTTTGCTATATTGGGTGGCCGATTCAAGGTAATCGAACGTCGTGAATTCCAGACTGATGAGGTTTCGATTTTACAGCACGACCGGCTTGTGTTAAGGATGCTCAGTTTATTTGTACTGAATGCAAAAATAGATAGCGGAAAGTGGGTATTCGCTGTTGGGGCGGAAAACCGGCATGTACTGTATCTCTACTAGCGTAGAAATCACTTTTGACTGGAACAGAAAAAAAAGTATTATGTACATTTCTCAAAATATTGCTTATATATGAGATTTAAGATTTTGAAAATTACATCTCTGCATGATTTTGACACTTTAATAACCTGACTAGCATTTCAGTCTTATATTTTGCTTTATCGAGGGGTAAAGGGTTGCTGTGATACCTAGACTCAATTAATGGTATTGCATTTCTGTTTATCTTGTTTTTTTATTGGACGGTCTGCTTTCCCGTCAATCGATACTGAATAAATATTTGGTGCTTTATCGCGAACGCCAATATGGTTTGGAAATATTTTCGAATGGTTGAACGAGTATATTTCTTTATTACTTAGTAATATTTGTATAAGAGGTAAATGCAAATATATCCATTGTAATATGTGACGTAGATTCTAATATTAGGAAAAGTGGATAATGTTGAGAAATATACATACATATATGGATAGGATAATTTTTACTAATTTCCATGGTAAAACCATCGTCTATTTAAAAATAAATTTTTCTGTGACAATCAAGAAAAGTACTATGGTGAAATGATGTATTGATACTTATTGTATCATTTATCTGTAAAAAATGAGAATATGAAAATAACAGACAGTCGCGAGCTTTATCATGCTTAGTATATATGTAAGCAAATTTTGTTGAAAAAAAGTCAGATTCCATAAGAGCTTAAATGGCTGTAATGAAATACGAGAATAATTTTGTATTACTTTTCTTTTGTACCTACTTGGTTCCAAGAATTATAAAAATCTTTCTTTCATGTGAATATGTATTTGAAATATATTGAAAAAATGGAATATTTTTTAAAACCACTCATTTCCCATCAAATTTTTCTTTGGCAGTTATCCAACGAAGGTTAGGTTAGGTTCACAAGAATCTATAAAAGATACAGTTTATAGTATAATATAAATATTATTATAATTCATTAATTATTTATTCGTATAATTCTGATAACATGGTTATCATTAGTTCTTGATTAATCGTCAGATCAATCGATTCATTCGTATTTCTTGAATTCGCCGATATGATTAGACATCGCGACGCGGGATTGAACGAGATATTTAATTCGCAATTTCATTGATGAATTTACGGCGCTTGGCGTCGCGCATGCTCAGTGACGCTACGTCGGCTCGCGGGAGGCCCGAACAGAAATGATATTCGTCAGTTTGCCGTTAACTTGCTCTCGAAACTTTTGCTCGAGGTACCCCCGGCGATATTTTTGTTTTATCAGAAATCGATGGAAATAAATTTTTCTTTTTAAATTTTATTTTCAAAACGTCTTTTATGGACCGATACAGTGGCGATTAAAATTTAAAAATGAAAATTTCTACTAGTTTTTTACTTACGTTCGTTTAACGAGAAGCAGTTGTGATTTTTTAAATAAGTTTATCGCAGTTCAAATCGTAGTTTCAACTATTAAAACTGTGCAATACGATGTAATTAAATTTGTTGTATTATTATCATCGTTGATAAAGAATTTTCTCAAGATTTTATAAAAATAAACTTCTTCCGCATTCCGACGGGAAATTTTGAAAATATTCGAAGAAAGGTAAGGAATACGATATATCTACATTTTATTGACAACTGTTAGATAGACGTTTTCAACATAATTTTTCTTTGAAATCATACAAAGTCTGAAGTCAAAGATTGAATTTTAAAAAGGAATTTCATACACACTACGTGTCAAAATATTCACACATTTTACCCCAAAACTCCAACAGCGTTAGTTATTACAACCCTTTGTTGACGTTGACCCGTTTTACGACGTATAGTACTAGGAGTTAAATAATGTCCTTTTCACCTACTATTAATTACATACACTCTAACTACATTAATCAAGCTACGACGTTGACTAAACGTTTTATGGAGTTACTTCGGTGACGTAACCAGTTCCATTTCTATATTTTTCACTAAATTTCATTACTGTTGTTAAAAAGAAAATTATAGTCCGTTCGTCCTAGATCATTTTGTTCTTTTTATTGATCAATAAAATCACTGTCACCTGTTACGCCTGTATGGATTTTTCAAAATCACATAATACGTGGTTTCCGGGAATGGGAGGTCGGGGGTTAGTTGGTTGGCCCAATTAATGCCAAAAATTTCCCTAGTGATTTAATAAAACAGTGCGAATTATCTGGTGCTCGATTCTGGTGTTGATCCTAACTATTTCGTTAGAGTTAAATTCAGAGGGTATGAAATTTTGAAAAATCTCAAGTCCGTTTTCTGATACGTGGAATTTGCGAAACTCGTACATAACTCAGACTGAACTTTGACTACGGAAAGAAATGTGAGGTTCCGAGTTGTTTGGCGCGGCAGCTAAGTACTAATAATTAGTAAAAGGCATGTAAAAAAAGGATGTACGTATATGGACATGAATATAGCCACGAAATAATTATCCAACTTCATTTGCAAATAGTATTACCGGGTGCATATATATATAGAATAAATAGTAGAGTTTACCAAGCATTAAATTTTTGTATAATGCGATTATGCAAAATTAGTAATCATAAGTGAAAAACTTACACAACTATTAATTTCTCTTGTCGGAAGTCTCCGTGGTATCTGTCTAATTTTCTAATGACGTTCATACCTATAGCAATATATTTTATTATCAGGAACTTCCTCGTACACTGATGCAGACATTTTTTTTCTCACGCTGATAACACTGTTCAGTTGATAATCCTGGGCGAAATAAAGTATCGTGGAAATTGAGAAATCAAAATATTCAAAAATGCAGTAATATAATTCTTTAACCTATCTCGACACGACGTCAAGAGTATTGCTGTCACTGTACGTGACAATCACGAAAGTCATGTAGAAAGTTTGTGACGGTTGATTACGATAACGGCGACGCATAAGAAACTTTCCGGGATACATCTAACATGTACAACAATGGCGACGATGGCGATGTCAGAATAATGATCAGCGATTCACGAACAATAGTGTTGCAACCGTTTGCAGCTCATAAAGCACGATAGTAAAGTTTGCCCTCTGGTGGTAAAAATAAGTTTTAGAAATCTTCAGGCGACCATAGACGTGCACTGCGGCAATTGGGCTAGGGTGCATATCAGAATAGATTTTTTGTTTGACAGTTAAAGAGAAATCGACCTTACGAATGTATTGATTATTTCGAATATATGTTATTATTGTCTTTTATATGGAACAATGATTAATGATTTATATTATTTAAAGTAGAGCCGTACCAGCTGAAGTTGATTGTACCATAGAAGTAAATTGACTAACTTCAATTGATTAGTGTGACCCGAGAGCTATATATGTATGTATATCTTGCTTTTGTAGTGATTTCCATCTTCTTATTCCATTTTTACTTAAACCTCTGAAAATTACTTATAATGTCGATCAAACGTAGAAAAAATTGATGACTGAAATTTCGGGGAATGAAAATTATTTTCTAACCTGAAATTACCATTTTGATGAATCTAAAAGACTTTTTACTCTCTTTGTCGTTCAAATTGAATAGTAGAGCCATCTTCGCTGATTGACAATGGGTAGCTGTAAAATCTGAGTGGATGCTTTTAGTTGGTATTATTAATGTTGTTGTCATATGATACGGAAAAAACAATTAAAGCACAAATAGAATCCTCGGAATTTATTTCGAGCATTTGCTCTTCCAATTTTAATTTAGTGACTCGTCACAGTTTTATTACACAGTCAGGTGAAGTCCATTTTTGCTAAACGGTTCTACAATGTATTATAGCTCAGCTAGTACAACGTGTTTGTGCAAAACGGACGATTTACGTTTACTGAAATTTCTTATGAAATAAAAATAATAAAGTAATGTCAAGAAACATTCAGCAAAATCTCGGCAACAATTGCACCGACTGAAGTGTAGATTCTTTTCTATTATTCTTGTAAATGTATGTTGCAAGTATGCGAGCAAAAGTAATTGTTTGAGCAAAATAACATTTTGTTAGTAAATTGTTTATTATAAATTATTTTTAAAAATTCACGAGAGCTGAACAAAAAGTGACTAAATACTTATGAACACTTATTATAGGAATTATAGTAAGAACGTGTCTATTTATCGTAATTCGTTGCTGCCTGGGAGGATTTGTAAAAAAAAATGAAACAAAAATTGCCTCGTAAATAAACTTTTGATACTACGAACGAGTATATTCGCGGTGTGGCAAAAGCAAAATAAATCATGTTAATGGCTCCAGAAGAAATAAGAAGGCAGTATCCAGTCTTCCCCACAGCCAGAATATTTTACAATTCCGCGATACCCGCTTCGTTTCCTCGATTATCAAGACTGTAAAATGAAAGTTGATAAATAAATCATGGAAAAACGTATGTTTGGTAGGATAACATATATAAATTTCCTTTTACGATTTAAATTCGATTTGCGACGATTTCAACACCAATAATCATAATCGTCGGATATCAAAAAAAGCCAATCGGCGCTGCGTGATGCTAGAGACTTTAGTCAGATTGAAAAACTCCTGAAAGAATATGTGCTCGGCCACAATGAAATTACTGGTCATTTTTCATACGCCCCTGGACAACTGGACAGGCGTATGGACCCCGCATTATAGTCAACTACCAAGAAATATTACCTGCTTGCTGAAAGCATAGACATAAGTTATCATACAATGTTCCATTAAACGGAGGTTTGGGGCATAGTTATATATTATTATATATTATATAGTACACACCCTGTATAATATATAGAATAGCACGATAGTACATTGGCAGCCAGTGCAAATTGGCTTCTGGCATCTTTCCATCCTATGATAGTTCACACTCAGATCTACTTCCACCGTGATATTTCATCGCGTCATAAAAGTCACGCGCCAGCGATTACTCGGTGATGAAAAAAAAATTTTTTGTATGTTCCAAAGTTCCTATAGGGGTTTTTCAATCTTTTTTATGTGATTGAAAAATTATACCGTTGAATTCTTAGGAGTGAAAGTGAATCTTCGGTCTTCTTCAGATAACTGATATCTTTAGTGAGAAGACACGGACGTCTTCTTACAACTGTAAGAAATTCAAATAAATATTCATGAGAAAAATTGTTTTCGAGAGTGGATAAATTCAAAGTAATTTTTTTTCTGGATATGCTCTGTTTAAAAAAATTTTCCTTTCATTGGTCTCGTTAAGGCTCTCAAGTGGTAGAGGGGCTGTACGAAAATAGAGATGTCCTTTAGTCAAATGATACTGTGATTAATATTATTTGAACTGCCGCCATAACCAAGTGGATTTTCCTAATGTATTTTTCAATATCACGAGGCCTTGTCACATCAGGCGGCCATTCGGAAAAAAACCGTGATTGAGGATTGAGTTTAAGTTTCTTTTGATGCAAAAAAATAATTTTTTATTGAATACACTTCTTTATTCAGCACGTTTTTGTCAGAAAATACGATACTTTCGTTCAGAATATATTAACTAACGTAAATAGGATTGGATTACCAATATGATATCAGATAGATCCTCACACCTGGTCCAAAATAGAGTGTTATGAACTAAGTTATTACACTGATTAATAGTATTCATAGAAAACTGCCTTAATCTTTGGATGCCGAGCGTTCTAGACCAATCAGCAAAAAACTAGTCTTCGATCATTGGTCGAGGAAGCCAAAGTGTGTATAACTGAAAGCCAATCTTTGACTATGCTTATATACATATTTGTTACATTCACTTTGAAATCCTGGAAAAACTTAACAACCAATAAAGTACAAATCTATATAGTAAGTGAGTGTTACAGATATGTGACGCTCAGCGCAAAAGGTTTAAGTTAAAATTCTGCTTAACGTTCTTTCTTTTGAAATTCCAGGAGTGTAGTCATTCCAATATGGCGGCTAGCGACAGTTGCTGAGAAGAGTAGTCAAGTCGGGATGCTCCAGATGTTCGTAAAATAAGTGTAAAGGAAAAATTTTGAAGAATAAAACTAAAGATAACTTTGAAAATAACGGATAGCTATACTCGTATAAAATGACTACGTGTGTAAACTTCCTGGAGGACGCGAAGTTCGCGATGTTCGTACATAACCTCTTTCGCGGTACTGTGAACGGGATATCGATGGTGACGGATTCGAGTTTGTATTGTTGAATACCGGATATCAGTGTCTCTCTTGTGGTGCGTTACGTTAATTTGTAAATCATGTCTCTGATCGACGTCGCGGCGACGTTGACGACTGACGTCATGGCATATCATCTGAACGACAGTGCTTACAATGCCAGTGTGTATAGTGATAGTTCTGAGGTTGAAGAAATGTCTGCCATCCTGAGACGCTTTATCGATGATCTCAATGAGACTAATTACCTTTTGATCACACTTTACGTGCCCGTAATTGTTCTTGCTGTGACTGCTAATATACTTGTGATCGTGGTGGTCTTCAAGTACCATTACATGAGGAGGTAAGTACTTTACGTCATTTCCGTAAATAAATTTATAGTTTCTACAGTTATACGTTTTGTCACTCACCAAAAGAAGCATATGAAATTTTGAGACTGTCAATTTTTATGGAATTTTTTCTAGCAACATATCAGGCTTGTATATTTAAACGTAGGCGTGTATAGGGTATTATTTTCCTGGAATAGATCAAAGACCATAAAAATTCTTAACACACAGTAGGCGAAGAGTTTGACAAGGTTTCTCCATGTTTTTCCAGTAACGTAAGTCTCGAGAAAAAAGTAAAATGAAACTTCTTACCTAGCATTTTGAAGAAAAAAATCTAAAGTAAAATCAAAAGCTGTTACGATTAAATACAGCATTTTTTTGTCATATACTTTTGCGAAACTGTCATTTATTTTTGCCTTTAACTCTTCGGCATTTGATCGCGTTCCTTTAGAAACTTCCATAAAGCCATTCAAGTATCCCTCTGACTGTGCAATAAAATATCGTAGACATTCGTATTCTGGCTGAATAATTGAAAAGAGACGGAGAGAAGGATTAATCAATTGACAAACCTATATCATTGATATTCCTCGATACCGACGGTGACACCGGCACGTTTAACTCTACTAAATAAAGGACCGTCGGAGTTCATTTCGCAAAGCCTTTAGACGTTCCAAGCGTAGCTTGCATCATGCGTGACTGGAAAATTCAAGTGGTCGAGAAAGATATGAGTGGTGGGAAAAATCTTTCCCTTTCAAATATCCTACCAGCATAAAAGCTTTTTCACAAATAACAACCAACACCTATAGAACCATCCCCTAATCGAAACTTTCAATAGAAAAAGATCGTTAATGGATCCATAAAGATTACGTTGGATCGTTCGCGTCTAATGGCAGGAATAATTTTCTTCTTTATCACCATACAATTTGTTATTTTTCATATCCAATCGTCAAATCAGACGCTATAACATTAGAAACCGCTTTGTGTATTTGTTCAGGATATTAGATAATCAGTTTACAAACATAGAATCAATTTGTCGCATATATATATGAGGGTATGTAAGTTTACTTTCATACATATATTAGATTGCATGATATAATATATAAACATATATAACCATATACCGAAAAGAGGGCTATATTATGCTATATAACTAATCTTACTTCATCTCGTCTTACCTATCTGTCAATATTTTCTTATTTTGTTTTTCCTACAGGCAAATATTTGCTTGACTTGGATTTTGCGCGAAATCACTAGGAAATCATGTGACGTATACTGTATCATTTAGGTATCAACATGCATATACATGTTTGTATCATTGAATTATGAACATTTATTCGTAAAATTTTCTCTTTTATTAATTTTTTTTTAAATTATCAAAATTTCCGAACTTTTTTTTTAGTAGCGGTAAATATTTTTTTTAATCGACATGTATACGTTATGTCAACTCTTTGTGTTTGCTTTCGGTAACACTATTTTCGTACGCGTCACGACCTTCAATTGTTAGAGGGGGGGGGGGG